CAGATCACAATGAGGATCCACCCCCGTTAGCACCATATTGCCGCGAACTCCCAGATGAGCCTGAATGCTTCATTTATGGCCCAGCATTTGGATTGATGGAACTATGCAATGTGAAACTAATGGAAATCTCAGGACAATTGATTTGTAGATTTGTGGCAGCATCTCGAACATGTAATTTGAAATTGACACGCATTTGGATTCATGGGAACTCGGACGCTCTTTCGAGTGACAGCGGCGGTCTTTGAGGAAGCTTTCGTGCGCATGGTGATCTGCATGCAATTTAAACATGATCTTGTTTGCAACAAAGCTTTGATATTGTAAGTTACGCGAGGAAACCCCCATGCGAACTTTTTTCGCTTGCAACCTTGGCAACTTTGGATGGGAATCCTCCAAGGAAAGATGCAGTAAGATGTTTTTTTTCGACAACATTGCCCGCGCAATATAAGCAATTTTGGGGGGGCCACACGAGTCAAAGAAGGCATTGCAATGGAAAGCGCAGGACACCCTTAGCGCGTGTTCTTGGGGAATTTACGGGCTGGCTTTCCAAGATTTGCGGGCGGACCTGAATGACGTGATCTATTGGTCCTAATGGATGTATTGTCGCATTGGCACACGTTCCTGCTCTGGAGCATCATGCCTCACTTTAACACACTGCATCAAGTAAACGTTTAGGAACGCATGTAACTTTTAATACTGGACAACGATCTATACAAGTGGCAGCCATATTTCATTGAAGTTATCCATTTAACACGAACACTGAATTAGGTAAACGTTTAAGAGTACATGAAATTTTCAACACTGGACGAAGATCTATGCATGTGGCATCCATATTTCGTTGAGGTTATCCATTCAAGTTATCAGCCGCCTGCTTAAATATTGGAACCATTTGTCTGTCAGTCCATGTATTTGGCTTTAAAAAACCTTAAAAGAACACACGCACCTTTATATCCAGCTCTAGCTGCGCCAGGAAGCGAAAGGTACCGTAGGGCACCAAGCGGCAGCTTAGCTTGAGCGAACGCAACGAAAACGCCATCCCTAAGTCAGGACACCGGACACCGACGTCCATCTTGACCAGGCAACCAGCCAGAAAAATCACAAGGTTGACCTGGCCGGAACACTGTCAACCCTAATGGCAGCAATGCGGGATGGATGTGCGACGCATTCGCGCGAGAAAACAAAACTGTCTAACACTGGGTTATCGACGCCGCCGCCCAAGGTCTCGGACCTGCAGCCATCAAACCCCGCCGGCTCCTAAGGCGAGGGCGAAGACTGTTGACCACGAGCTTCTGACACCCCCTCTCCAGCGTATCACCAAAGTTTGGCCGGCTGCCTGTCAGCTTAACTGCTCGACACCCGCAAATGGGGCGGGGCGCGGCCGCCGCAACACTGACCCTGGCACTGCGTCACGCACGTCAAGATCGTTTGGGAGACCCCGAAGCCAAAACAGACGGGATCCGTGGCTCCCATGCACATAACCAGCTTCAACGAGGCAGGGCTTGAACCCAACTTTCACATCCGCGATCTCGTACTGCGCACGCGCAACCACTTTGAAACAGGCACACCGAAGGCAAGCCACAACCAAACATGACGCAAGCAAGTAGACCCAGCGAGCTGCCGCCTCCAGTCACCAACGGTCTCGGACATGATCCGAGCGACGTCATCGACAACCTGGACGTCTGCGCTTCCTTGCCAGCCTCATACAGATTGAGTTGTTCACGAAGATGACACTTTCAACCACCAATGTTGTCAATCCACGACCTAGTACCCAATTGCTTATGATGCGGGCTAAGGGGGTTGCATGAGCCAAACATTAGGGTAGCAAAAGTAGTCCGTGTTCGCCTGGCCCGGGTCAATGGGTGAACTTCATACGCTTTAGCACCCCTTACACGACTCAACATAGTGTCAGGCACAGGTGAAGCACTGCTTTTATAGCATTCGCACCGGGTAGAAACCAAAGCACCATTGTGAGACGCTTGCTGCACAACTACTTTGACGGCAACAGCAACGCCATGATACTTCCACTTACCACTCCTGGAAATGCGCAAACGTACACAGTTAATGAGTTAATTATATGCTTCTTGGGTCTACTATACTGGGGTCTACGCCCAGAATCACTGCGCTGCACGTCCTCATGGCAAAGCGCTGTTTTTGCTCACGCTGCGCTGCTTGACAATGACGAACGGCGAACGATGATGAACGACGTGTCCAGATGATCTTCTGCAGCTTGCCCTCGCTGCCGCCGAGGACCTGGCTGCCGCTGCGGCCGGGCTCTGACACTGTTGACACTTGCGCCGTGGCACGCGGCTCAATCTCAGGCGCTGGCAGTGGCAGCGGCGCTGGTCTGAAGATGCAGAGCGAAGCCCACACCCCTTGTCTAGAGCTCCCGCAGGTCGGACTCTCTGTCTGAGACTCCGCCCAGGCCTGAGCCATCGTCACTTCTAGCTCCAGACTCCGAGCTCGAATCACAAAAAGCCAATGCCCCGGCGGGCGACGGCGCCTGAAGCCTGCAACTCTTCGCCCCTGTCTCGCCACCATGCGCTTCTGCGCTTGCGCGCTTGCTTCACGAGAATGGACACGGCGTTGAGGAGACGAGCTGTCAGAATCAGGCTCTGCGGCACCGCGCTCCGGCTGCGCGGGTGGTCCTTGCGGCGTCTCCAAAGACAGCAAGACTTTCCAGGGAATGACGCGACTCATGACAAAGGAAAAGGCAGACGGGCCTCATTCCGCTCGTGAAGGTTTCGGGCGGCTCTGAGGCAACTAGTAGCTCCCCGTCTATCAAACCCTTACCTCTAGTACCTAAGTCCTCCGGAGGGTTAGAACCTACAACCTTTATGGCTTTGAGGAGTTCCTGCCTGAGTGACGTGGCTGCATCCTTCAACGCTTGCGTGGCTGAGAGTCCAAGAGACGGCACTTCGGCCGCTGGGGCCGGCTGAACTGGCAGCAACAGAACCACCTTGGGTCTTCTTGATCTTAGGCTTAGGGGCTGCCCGACCTGCCTCTTCAGCCTTCGCGCTATCCTTACCCTTAATTCCCCATCCTCTTTTAGGGCAGAAACCCTTGGCTTCTTACTTTCAGCAGGCTGCAAAGACAATGTTTCAAGCTCGGCCAGAAACAGCTGGGCCAGTGACACTGCGATGTCATGTGTAGGCCTGTGGTCAACGCCATGCTGAAGTTTGAAGGCTTGAACTCGAAAGATGGCGGGAGGATCAGTGACTTGGGGCTGGCCTAACCTTTCCACAGCCTTGATTAGCAGGGAAGAGTCAGGAATCAACTTCAGCTCCCCTAACCGGGCGAGCCATCACGCTCATCTTTGAAGGGCCTTGATGGCAGAAGAAAGGTCCTTGGGAGCATCAGGATTGACGAGGTATTGCAAGACAGCAGTTTTCTCAGCCTAGCAAGCAGGCTGGTACTTGGTATGGAGAAGAAAGAGGATGCCAATCACCATGAGGGCCCTAGTGGCGGCGCACGCTGTTGCCAGTGGGACTTTGAGCTGCGCTCTGCGAAGCAAACACAACAGCCTCATGATAGGTAACTTTGCGCGGCGTCATCGGTCTGCGGTAGCGTCCCAGGAGACATACGTGTTTCTCCTGCCGCACCAGCCAAAGTGGAAGTCCTTCTCGGCTCCAGTCGCGCCTGGCCACCACGCGGAGGAAGAACCTTAACGCCAGTTTTGCCCAAGTCGGGATCCAAAAAGTGGCAAGTCGTCCCCTGAAATGTCCACTCAAGTCAGACACTGCAGCGCGAAACCGACTAGCATAATCAGCCACGCGCTCTCCAACTCTTCGAGAAAAGGCGCAGGCAAAATGAGTCCGCAGCTCGCCTAAAACTGAGTCCGCAGCTCGCCACGTTTATCCAAGGTGCTTTGGCCAGTCATGGTGTCCAGGGCACGCATCAACTTGTTGATTGCAGCCAAGCTCATGAACCAGCACGTCACCAGTCTCTGGATTCGTCAGGGTCCCCCCACATTCTGGAACTGGAGCTCATCCGGGGTGAACTCCCTGCCGCGTTGACGGACCGCGACGGACTGTCGTAGTAACCATCGTGCGTGCTCTCAAAAGGAACTGGTCCACCAAGCCATCTCACGTCTGCCGTCCCAGCATGGCCCTCTTCCTTCTCTGCCATCTCGAATTCGCTTGATTCAAGAACTCTTCTGCTCAGCCAGCTGCCAACGCTTGCCGAAGACGAAGAACAGAGTCGAGTAATCGAGAATCACGTGAATCGCGATGTAGACGGAGTCGCGCAGGGAAGCAGCAGCAGCAGCAGCAGCCGCGCAAAGCGGCTCACCAAAGTGTCCCGGCCGCCCGCTCAGGCTCCGGTGCCACTGTGGAAGGCAGGCCGAATAGCAACCACGCACGGGGAAGCACTCGGGACAGCAATCCTTTTACAGCGTAGCGCAAAGCTTGGCTGAAGATCTGCAGAGCCATGCACAGCACATGGGGATGAAGATCATGGATGCAAGGCACAGGTTTTCATACTTTTTTATGGAAATGGCGCCCGGTCACAAACAATGCATCTGCCCAACTCCAAAGGCGCAGTGCGCACATTATACACCCGGGGGCCCCTGGAACCCAAGCCACAAAACCGATTGCAAAACTTTGCTGTCGCACAAATTCAAAATATAAAGGGCTTAAACTTTTAGGAGCCTGAAAACGCTGAAGCCTGAGCTGTGGAAGCCTGGCTGGGACTATGTCGACTCCGGATGCCCAGGTCGCGATGCAGTGGGCGTAGGGAAGTGGCTCAGTGGCTCAAGTCTCGGCACAGGGGGATTTTGCACTTGATAGCTGCGGGTTGTCCTGAACCTTTTTTTTCTGAAGCTTGAGCCAAAAAATGGCTTCAGCCAAAATGTGTTCTCGCTATGTCCCACTCTAGCTCTCTTCTCCCGGTTTCGGCCTGCAAGACGGCATCGACAGTCTGGAGCTTCTCGCTCCACTCGTCGACTGTTGGCTTGCAGAATTCGATGAACCTGCCCTGCACTTAGACACATTTCAATGTTTTGCGCTTCACTCTGGGCGCTGCAGAACGGGGACCTGTGAGGCCATGGAGAGCATCTCCAGAGAGTCTGATTCAAGGCGCTCCAGAACCTTGAGGTTTACACGCAGCTGCAAATGACTGAGACAATCACGGGTCTAACGAGACCTCCGAAAGGTCTGCCAGCAGAGGGCAGTCCTCACTTGAAGCATGTTGTGAGTCTGAAACCATTTTGGGTACTGTTTAGTGTGGCCTCTCGGGTGTTGTCGAAATCCACGCTCATCTTGGACCAGGTCTTGCGGATGCCATCCAGCTTACCCTCCTCAGCACCAGCACTATGCTACTTCCTTTTGCACAGAGCGTGATGCATCTGAGCTTAGTTCGATCTTGGCTTCTTTTACGCTTTGGTCGACAATGTCGTATACATCAGACCTTAGGAGCCACGTGCGTGCAAACAAACGGCGGCGGATGTCGGTATGTCGGCATGTCGGTATGTATCAGGCGAGAAGTGGTGCAGCTCCACCTTCAGCGCTGAAGGAGAAGCGAGTTACGCGTCAGATGGCTGTTGGAAGGCGGAGGGCCTGCCTCGAGGAGGTGCCGAAAGCTGAACTCTGGCCCCTGTCAGTTGCACTTATGAGCTTTGCACAAGCTTTGCCTTCATTTGCTCAGCAGTTCTCCTTCTCAAACGTCTTCTTGGTGACCGCCATGAGCAGGGCCCAGTGCCGGTCCCTCATGGTGTCCGAGTGCAATTCCTGAGAAAGCCGATTCGGAAAGCACCATTCCCCGAAACGCAGGGACTCTTTGCCACTTTTTGGCACCGCGCATTGACCAGCGGCAGTGCTGCGGACATGTTCTTAACCTCATTTAAAAAAAAGTCTCCGTGCCAAACATAACACGCAGGCAAAGATGCGCAAGATGCGTGAAGCACCGAGAACTTACAAAGAAATCAAAACCAAAGCAAAGGCATGGCAAAGCCTCGCCTCGTCTTGAAGCCAGGCATAGAGCGGCCAGGCTCGGAGCCCCTTCTGCGCACTGCGCACCTGAACAAAAAAACTACGAACACATTGACTGCATGTAAAGAGGCTTAAAGAGGGCCTTGAGGCTTTCTTGCCAGGCTCGAAAAGGCTATGCCGGCGCCTGCTGCGCAAGCTCGCGCACCGTGACCAGCATCTGCCCAGTGTCGATCTTCTCCCAAGGCACGCTGTACCTCCAATGGGCAAAAGGCATAGCAAGGCATAGCAAGGAATCTAATTACATGCTGCTCTTCAATTTTCGAGTTTTCTTCTATTTGGGCTTCGCGCCAAGCCGAGAAGGTCTCGCGCACCAGCACAATCAGATCCTAAGTCTCGGTCTCTCGTAGCTGCCCTATAGCCCCTTTCATCCCCCTGCATCCCCTTGGCACCCCAAACCGAGTGAAACCAAGCGGCCCAAAGATTCTTCAGCAGTACCAGGTTGCTAAGACAGTCGCTCCTCAGAGAAACTCTCTTCGGCTTCAGCCTTCGGCTTCAGCTCAGAACTCAAATCGCTTGGTCCCCTGCAAGGGACGGTAGTCGCTCATGGCCATGTCAAAGAGCAGCTCCAAGTCCTGGAAGTCGACACCACGCGCACCACGAGCCGAGAGCAGCTCAAGTGAGGCCGGGACGTTGAACTGCTCTGCCCGAGCTTGTATCTCCATGGTCCTGCCGTAGTACTCATTGATGATAGCATAACCTCAGTTAAACGTGTGCTTGCACTGACGCCTTCCTGTTCCTGGCTGTTCCGTTTGCGTTTGAGGTGCTTTTGTCGTAGGAGCCAGTGATCGCGTGCTCACCTGGTGAAAGAAACGTCGGGGAAACTCCCCCTCAAACGGCGCAGAAGTCATAAATATCTGACTGTCAATAGGCTGGGCCCAGCGGCTGCCGAAGGGGCATCGCTCCAGGAACTCGGCACGGAAGTTGCGAACGTCCTCGCGAAAGCCCTCGATCTTCACCCGGATCTTCTGCATCTCCTTCAGCCAACCGCAGCCATGCGCAGCCATGCCCAGCCGCTGCAAACCTCTCTTTCCTGGCCTGATTCTGCAGAGGCAGAATCTTCTCCTTCTCGTTGAAGGCGGCCCTGTCCACCTGCAAACAACTCCTACCTCATTACTCAATTCTCAGTACTCCATCACTTCCGCTTGTTTTTCTTCGACGAGTACTGGCTTCTTCTCTTCTTCTCTTTCTTCTGCTTCTTTAACGCCTCTGCCCAGTGTGCTGGAGCTTGCTCCAGGTTGTTCCAACATTCCTGGTAAGATCTGACACAGGGTCTCTGGCAAGAGCGCATTCGCAAGCTTCGCAAGTGGAAGTTGCGAAGGTTCTCCTCGGAGATGTTTGCATGGTGTTTCTTCAGCATCTGCACCTGCACACCGCTCTGCACACGGCTTCTTTTTACCTCTCAGATCTCCCAGCTTTCGAACAACAGAAAAGTCGGAGTTTTCAGAGGCCTGCTCCCGCAAGGGATGGAACAACCTGAGACAACAAGGGCGCCGTATGTCTCATTAATTCTCATCGTGTCACCATGTGTCTCCATGTTGTGTCTCTGTCTCCACCACCCCCGAGCCACCTCTGCATGGCGCCACGTGCCAGCTTCACGTCACGAATCTTCGTCATCCTCAGGGCTCCGCACAAGATCGAAGCTATAAATGCAGCTACCAGGCTACCAGGCTACCGACTACCGGCTACCGGCTATGCTGCTTTTCTGGCGGCCAGGGCACGTCTGGTACAGAAGGCGCTCGTCCTGACAAAGCCGCAAGGCAAAGAGACGAAGCATGCGAAGTATGCAAGTCATTTCACATGCTCCTCTGGATTCTCCGCAGCTGAAGGCGGCCCCAATCCAGTCCTCATCTTACCCACCCCCTTGCACCTCGACTCCATCCACTGCGAAACAACTGCCAAACTCCACTTCGCCAACCCCCCTCCTTACAGAGTCGATGAAGGTGCTGAGAGAGGAAATCCGGTCCTTGCTTCGCTTCCTACCACCTCTCATGTTGTATTTTGAAAATTCTGCGCCTCGACGAAGGTACGCAAAAAGCCGGTGTACTTCTCTTCCCACTTTCTCGCGCAATTCACGAGAGTGACCTCAGAGAGCACGGTTGCAGAGCTTGACATGCATGAGACGTTTTAAACCGACATGGCCAATGTAAGAGGTTATCAACGTAATGACTTTCAGCAAGTTGCCTTGACAGGCTGCGCATCAATGCGCAACCAATGGATGTCGGTGGGGGTCTTCTTCATGGACAGCTCCTTTGGTTTGTGGGTTGTTGCGGGAAAACAGAAGTGAAGTAAGTCGTGCTTTTCCTGTTTCAGGTGCTCGAAGCGGGCGACTTCCTTCTCGAAGCGCTCTAAGGAAGGGATCACGGGGCCCAGATCCACCTGACAAAAATGTCCCCAAAAACGTACAGCATGAGTACTTTAAGTAACACGAAGCATAACGAAGCATCGCATGCCTTAATCCGGTGCATGATCTCCCGGAAGCTCATCCCGCCCTCTTCGAACTCCACCAGCTCCTGCCCCGTCCGCGACCGCCGCGGTATGCCGCGATAACCATTTCTCTTTTTTCTTAAGCAAACTTCAAGTCCTTCGGATCCTCTTGCAAGAAACGGTCGAAGGTCTTCTCCACCTACTTCAACTTGCGGAACCCCAGACAGCAGTAAACGGGGGCAAGAGTCCCTGGCGCTGTCTGTCCAAAGAAATGAGTGCGTCATAAAGTTCTCGCGGTACTCCAGGCACTTGGACTCGGTGTTGTCAATCCTGAGAAAGGAAACATGAAAAAACAAGAAAAACAAAGCAAAGCCACATGTGCAGCTTATTAAGAACTCTGCATGCAAACAACAGATGTTCTCTTCTCGCACTCAAACATGAAATCCTGCTAAGCCACAGTTCCGAGACCAAGGACAACAAGCACTGCATCTGGAAGTGTTCCTCGAATCCAAATTTAAAACGAATGAAACATGTTTCCTTAAGCTCAGCACAAACTCCTTGATTTCATTCAGGTAATCGCCCATGTTGGAGTCGAGACGCACCTACTAAGATGCCGATTTCACATGAGACTGACTTGTCCACACGCTGTGGGCATGTGATGCAAAACGTGATACCGCGCATGTGGAGCACCATCACGGTTGCCATTGCGAAGAAGTCCTTGAGCCAGCCATCAATTGTGCTGCGCAAAGTCGTACGGCTGGGAGCATCTTCATCCTGCGATGATGATAGTGATGACGCGCTGCAAGCACCGCAAGCAGTACAGCAAGCAGCACAGCAAGCAGCACAGCAAGAGATGAAAAATGAGGAGATGTGTTTGGCCAGAGATCTGCCTCGAATGGAGGATCGAAGGCAATTTCGTCGCCCTGCAGCTCGATCTTAACATCCTCAGTTTGTCGCTTCTTCATGTACAGTCAAATAGGCCAGTCCTGCTAGGGCACAAAGAGAGGAAGCATCTCATGTCGCGCAATGATCAGCGGATCCAAGATCTCGCACAGGTACCTGCGCAGACAAACGGCGAGACGAGGAAGCTTTCCGAGGGCCGGACTTGACAAGGGTACTGCAGAGACACCGCGATGGCAGAGACGAAGCCCTCAATAACAACATTGTTCACAAAGTCAACGTACGCCTCAATCGCTGAAACGTGTCACAATCAGTTGCATGACCACTTGCATGTGACATGGCCTTCCAAGTTCCAGCCGACTTGGAAATCTTAAGTGATTCACTTGAATCCTTCACATAACCTTGCAGTGGTGCACAGCGCGCAACTGCTGACAGCTTTACTTCAAGACAAGACACGGTGGATCTCCTTTCCACCATCCTGAACTTGTCACAGGAAGAACAAAGGAGCTGGGTTACAGCTCTTCAAGTGTCGGACGGTCATGTTCATCAAGCGAACCCCAACTCTTGCTTTGTGGTTTTGCTCGAATTCCTGCCAAGTTGGTCTCAGAGAAAGTCAGCAACTTCAAAACATATCAAAACCTACCGCTGCATAAGCGACATCAAGGGAGCTCCACTCCTCGACTGACACGGGCTTTGCCCCCCGCTTCCGCTCCAGCCTCAGGCCATCTCGACGATCCCAGCGGAGACTCAGAGCGCTTGAGACGCATGACAAGTGGCATGGACTCCCTGCACCATTGTGAGAGGATGCCAGAGATCTTGCGCAGATTTCCCTTCAAGCTATCAGGTCTCTCTGACTTGCTTTGCTGAAGCATGATCAGGCCTTCATGATGTCCACGATGGCAGAAACATCACTGACCACTTTCATAGCTCCGGCAATGAAGTCAGGTATCCGATCTTCACGCGACCATTTCAACTCTGTCAGCCCCGGGGCCTGCAGCAAAAGTTCAAGAGGGCAGCTGTCTTTGGGCTGTGGCTTTCCTGTGCTCCAAGCCAGCGCCGCATCCATTTTCAGGATCCGGTCCTCCAGCAAAGGCTCCTGGCGGCAAATCCTCTGCTTCTTTTGTGCCTTCTCTCAAGGCTCCATCCTCCACAGGTAAGAGGTCAGTAAGAACGGAGTTGTACAATTCAACAATGTGATCCAACCTTGTCAAGAGGACTCTTGGTACACACATGGGTGCGCAGATCGGGCTGGGTCAAATGCTGACTGGTCCATCTGCGGTACGTGTCGACCATGTTATAGATGATCAATGCCTCATCTGGCACCTCGTTCAACTTGCAGACACTGTGAATCCCAGGAGAGCCCTGCCAGATTACACGGTCCAGTCCTCCAGGCCATATATCAAGAAGAAACGGACCTAGCGAAGTAGATGATGTTGCTATGGCCCAACAGCTTCAAGCATTAGCTTCCGCCTCGCGCAACAACCGGACGAGCGCTGGGTCAAAGTTCACCTTCAACAGCCCAGTCCTGCCAAGCAAAGGAACATGGCTGAGCAAGGCAAAAAAGGAAAGGAAGATGGTGAGCTCCTGTCGTGCCGGCGTAGCAGACGAAGATGAAGGCGCTTTGCAGCATCACCCACCTCCAGCAGGCTGGCGCGCCACTGCACACGCAGCTTGGAATATGATGCTAAGTTGCACACCTCAAGCTTCCATTCCGAGTAGCGACGCATCTCAAACTCGTCCAAGGTCTTATCGGAGTATAAACTACACCGAGCCACATGCAACTGCACCTTCAACAAGGTACCGGCCCGCAGCGTCCTGGCATGGAGGGCCTCAAGTTCCTTGAAGCTCGACGGCACCTCCCAGTTTGGCTTCCTGGCCTTGCACATGATCCACAATCTCAACGACTCTGCGGCCTCACCACGCGGCAGCAGCCTGGGCATGCCAACAACTGGAAATGAACATCTCCAGATCTCAGCAGCACAGTAAACTTGCAAACACCGCTTCCAAATATCTGCTTCAACCCAGTAAAACTATAGGACAATTTTCTTTCAAAAAGCAGCATTTGTTCCCAAACAGTTTAGCTTTGGGGTCTTCTGTCCAAATGTGTCTCGAAGCAAATCGGAGCGGCCATTGGAGTAGGTTCCAGATTCCGGCAGACTCCGGAGCGGTTCAGGCGTGAGGTTTCAGAAAGGTCCGCACAGGTTGCGGAGTGAAGTTCCGGAGTCCAGTTCCGGAGCGAGTCTTTGGAGGCCACGGAGAGGGAGAGGTTCCGAAGCGCGTTTCTTGTAAAAGGGCGACTGGCTAGCTGTGTAAACCTCTCGCACACCAGGTAAACCCAAAGCTTGCGTTTCTCTGTTTTGACGCTTCGATCTCAAGGCTCCGCAAAGTCGATAATGCCGGTCAGTGTGAATGGCGTAGCTATAATAGTTCCCAATGCTTCTACAGCTTGCGGGGCGCTTGGGCCTTTACCCTTGGGCCAAACACAAAATTTGACCCGTTTGCATAGACCATGAATTGCTACCTGAGTTGCACGCCATTATGTGAGGGCAGATGTGCAGTAATTTACAACCCCTTTGCGAATCACAACTTTTTGAATGAGTCGGAAACAGAAGCTCCACTTTTGCACATCAACATAAGACAGAGTAGCAAATCAATAAGCTATGGGACCTCATCGGCAGGGCGAACCTAGGCCTAGGCCGAGCATTGTGAAACAGATTCTCATTCCCCTCTCAGATGGTGTCAGGGCGAACCTACAAACACCGAGGCATTTCCATAGCGCGCCAAAATGGCGATTGGAAAAGCAAGGGAACTTCAAAAGGAGTCCATCAGTCATCCATTGCATTGAGATCAGAATTTGGCTTGTACTGCGTTCCACGGTCCCTGGCATCATCGGTAATTTGGCCGATACCACTGCGGAACATGGATGTACGGGCCTTCCCAAGCTGCCAATCTTTCACATTTTGCCAGTTAGACTTGTTCCGGAGTTGTCCATTGACGATGTCAACATCGATCCTTGTAGAGCTTGCGGTATTCTGGTCCAAAATTTGCACCCTTCTGCACTCCAATACAGAGCACCTAGACGCTCTCTCTTCTTTCGTGCTTCGAAAAGACCTTCGAGGCAATGTGAAATGTGCCATTTTGCAAGGGATCTGGGCATGTTTCGGTACGCCACGTACTTGAACTTCTTCACCCCAGGCGCTGATGATGTTGCGATGTCCATCATTGATTCGGACGGAGCTTGCGGTACCCATCTGAATTCACAGCAATGCGTGGTAAAAGATGCTCGTTGATGTTCATGGTGGAGTACGCCCAAACATAAATATCCCAAATGTGAGATGGGATGCGAATGGCCTCGTAACTGTGATCAAGATTACGCAGAAGAAAAGAAAAAAAACGCCCAGCAACCGTACACCCTTGAGGGTATGGGCGTACCATTGAGAGATTCAGACAGCCTGCGTCCGTCGCAAACCGGTGCAGCTAGAGCGGGCCGGAAAGGGGTAGGCGGCCCTCCCTAGAAGCACAGCGTGGGCGCCCGGGCACTTAGGCGCGGCGCGGGAAAACGGGAAAAAAAAAACCTTCTAAGAAGGAAAAAAACCCAACTGTACACGCGCGCAGCGACGCGGACAACAGCCTGAAAACCTAAGCCTAAACCCGGGGTCCAGGGGAGAGGTCTAACCTAAGGCACCAACCCCAAAATGGAGAGGGCTGGGAAGAGCTGCGCGGATGGCAGCAAACTCCCCTCCCCAGATTCCCTCGCTGGCACGCGGCGCAAGACAGCACGCGCGTTCTCACGCTGGAGGGCGACGCTGAGGGGCTGGAGGAGTTTGTCGACCGCGATGCTTTTCGCTTCGCCCGTGTGGGCCGCAGAGAGGGCACCGAGAGAGCGCCAGGTGGCAATGCCCCCGCCGCGGCCGCAGGCTTCGGCTCCGCACAAATTGGATGCCCTGCTCTTCAGAGCTGTGTGCTGATGGTCCCGCTTCTTGGTTTCGTAGGCAAGGCAGGCGCGGAGCCATCAGCGGCAGAGGAGGCACAGGAGCCACTGCGGAGGCCAGTGGTGACGGCAAGGTCAAAGGCCGCGGGGCCAAGCAAACCCCTATGAAAAACCCAAACATCAGCGGGCCGGCGGCCTTGCACGCCAGAGGGGCAGCCGGCCTCGCTAGCGCCTAGGTCAGTAGGTCGGGCTGGCAATAAGCCGGGCTTCTCGAGGCGTGAGCCACGAGCACGGTGCGGAGGCGGTGTGATCAAGATTTTCACATAGTAGCAAAGAGCTGTACCGCGCTGTGTACTTGTTCTTGATCATCCATTCATTCCTGGCGGCCTGGTACCTTTTCAAGCCTTCCCCATGTAGCCAAGCGAGGAATTCATCTTTTGCGGGGATCCGAGGAGTTGTGACTCCTCATCCAGGAACGCAGGGAAATGGAATGGCTGCGTAACGAACGGTGTACGGAATGTGTCCCTCCTTTCCTTCATCTCATTGAAGCTCAACGCCACGTAGGCATCGAGGAGATCCTTGCGCTGGAAGATGACGTAGGCGAGCACCTCATCGAAGACCTTCGCCACCTCCTCCGTGTTCAGACACAGCGCAGGAGGATTTGTAGCCTTGTTACTCGATTCGGTAAGGTACTCATTTGAGTAATCTTCTTGTTCGCCACACTCATCAACTTCATCGCGCTCAACCTCGATTTTCTCGATATCGACGCCGGTCGCTTGTTCTTCTACGGATCTCATCCCTGCGTCATCGAGTTCTTCATCTGGCACGGCTTGCTGAGCGATCTGCTCATCACTAGATTCAATCTCCACATCGATAAAGATCCCGGAATCTAAAGAGCGGGGCACACCCAGACTCTCTCGGTCCATAAACCTTCCGGCAGGCACCATGGTAGCCCCGCAATTGAGACACCACACCAAAGAAGGTGATGAACGCTGTCGGCGGCGCGTGGCACATGACCTCACTGAGCGATTGCTATGTCGGGACTCACATCCCTCAGCCCTGTATACGAGTTAACGGGTTAGGAGGCATCTCCGGATGTGAGACAACCGGTTCCGCCTTGTTCCTCAGCCGCTGTGGCGAGTCCCTCCCAACTTCCTGTGGCCTATCCGCCAGTGAGGTCGGCGAGTCCTCGGAGCTCTCAGAGGAAGTCTTGACAGGTGCTGGCCTCTTCTGAGAAGGCGTCGGCGGCGCCCTAGATGGTGCAGGTAAAACCTTAGGGTCCGCTGAACTGGCGGCCGCCTCGGCAGGTGGCCTCAAACCGCTGGTGAGGATCTTCGAGAGGGTGGGGGCTTAGGGGGTACCCTAGGCACACTCGGCGCAGGCTGCCCCGCCTTCGCTGGCTTGCCCTGCTTTGCGCCCTTGGGTGCTCCTTTCTCCTGGCCTTTATCCTTACCCTTCTGTTCACCTTTGGCCGGGCCTTTGGCCGGGCCTTTGCCCTTGCCCTTTCTATCCCAGGCCCTCTTGCGCTGGCGCTCTAGTGTGCTGGCGGACTTCCAAGTGAGTCCAGCCTCCTCTCTACGCCTTTGGTCCTCTACCAGCCTACCCTCCTGCTTAGGCGCCATTTGAGCCGCGTGCTGCAAAGTAAAGTTTGCTTCTGCTTGGGCTTGGCTTTGGCTTGCTTGGCTTTGGGGGAAGGTTTAGGGCGGGACCTAGAGGAGGCCTGGGTTTGTGCTTGAGCCTCATTGCCAATGGGCGAGGGCTCTGCTGAAAGTTTTGGAACCTCAGTCTTAGAGGACGAGGCCTTCGAAAAACTAAGCTTTGGGTCTTGAGCCCTACCTAGAGAGGCCTTAGACACACTGGGCCCCTGAATCTCAAGTCCTTGCAGAGGAACCTGGGGAGAAGCCTTAGAGATTGGGGCCGCAGTTCCAATGGGCGAAGTTTGCCGCGGGCCTGTTTGAGCCTCTGTCCTGTTAGGCGAGGCCTTCGCGAAACTG